AGATGGTAGGCTATGCCCGCCAGCAACAAAGACTGAACTGGGCATCTTGAGCTGAGCTGCCGCCTGGATGGCTTGGTGGATAGAGCATGCGCTCTTAACAAGTCGGCTGGTTCGACTCCTGCATGGGATGGTGGCTACGCACACCCGCAGCTAAGACTGAACACCACCTTGAGCTTAGAGGCCACGAGCTGCCGTCGGGCAGCCAGATGGCGACTGGCGCCCTCCACAACTAAGATTGAAGAACAACTTGGCTGGTCCCCCTCCCCAATTCCCCAACACTGTTCCCCTCCCCCAATTCCCCAATAAAATCTTTTAAAAAGAAGCTCAATGATGCAAATGACTAATGCCACCCAACCCATCCTACCTGCTTCGTTTTCACTTGCTCACGAGTGACATGCTAGTCAGTCTTCCCCACAGACTTTCATTCTTTCTGAAGGGGAGAAGTCCTGACCAGTAGAGCCTTCTGGCCTGGACGATGGGTCAGCTCAGTGTTTTAAAGTGGTTTACTCAATGTAAATGAGTAACCCCTCGTCTCTCATGAGCTTGTTTAGCCTGCGTCAATCCCTGAGAAACAGAGATGATGATGTCCCAGAACGCCTCCAGGTTTGGTGACAAGACCACGTTTGTGTGCCGAGAGCTGAGGACCAGATTCTGAACCCAGGCAAGCGACCCCCTTTGAAAACTTAGCCTGAGTGGTCTCCAGCTCACCACCAAGTGCCATGACAACTCTTAAATTTATGACCATAATGTTGGTGTATGTTTTCCAACAGGACAGCCAGAAATTTCTCCAAGCTGATATATTGTAGTTTCCTTCACTAGAATTTTAACAGGAATAGAGACACCCTGTCATCGGGGACGGAGGCAACTTTGCTGGTCCTCTTGGCCCTTACGTTTTCAAGGGTGAAAGAGAGAAAACTCTGGGCCCTTTTCCCAGCTAAGGGCCCATTTGCAGTCTGACTTTTTGCCTTCATGATGCTTCTGCAAAGAACTTGAGGGACTGTGGCTGTGGAGGTCTGAGTAACACCTGTTGAGTCCTCAGGCTGTGGCAGACTCTAGACGTTCACTCTCCTCAAACTCCCATTTTCAACCCAGTCTCTTGCAGGGGATGTAAAAATAAAAGCTCATTCTGCTGGGCTCTCTTGCAGCTATGGGTGGCTTAATTCTGGCCACAGAGATGTAAGCAGAAACCGGAGGACGGCCTTATTTCCAAAACATTCAATAGAAGGCTAGGCCACATATGGAGAAAGCCCTTTGCCTTTCCTCCAGCCTGGCATGTGGACGAGGCCTGCAATGATGTACAACCATGAGAATATGCTAAGTGACATTGCTGAGCAGCACTGCCAGTCCTGAGAAAAACAGAACTATGTTTTCTGTTATTTGTGGTCCAACTTGTTCCTCACTGATAAACAAGCACTATGCTAGACACACAAACTGTTTTCTTTCAACTTCACAACAACTGTGCTATGGAGACAGGAGGCACCCCCCCACACCCCCCCCCCTTTGGAGATGAAGAAATAGCTCAGTGGTAGAGCAGGGACTGAAACCAACATCAGTCTGAACCCTTTAACACAGACGCTTCTCATCAAGCTGCCCAAAGCCTGATTTTCAGTTCTGTGTTAAGACTAAGGCTGGTGGGGAAGGCAGCTGTGTCCCTGACCCATGTCCAGGAGGCCTTACCTTTCTCAATCATCTCCTTTGTCTGAGGGTGAGGCATCTTGATAAACATGTTCCCGAAGCAAACCATCACATCATCTGAAATGGCAAATGCATTCGTTCAGCAAATATTTTGGAGCACCTACTACCTGCCAGGCACTGTTTTAGGAGCTTGAGGATACAGCAGAATAAGACAAAGTTCCTGCCCTCGTGGAGCTTAAGTTATAGTGAAGGAGGACGAATAAACCAGCAAAGATGTATCATTTGTCAGACCCTGACAAGTCTCAGTACTGTAGAGAAAAAGAAAGTAGGGTAAGACAGATGGGGAATGCCAGAGTAGGGGAGGGGCTTTTTATACCAGGTGGTTTAAGAAGGCCTCACTGATTATGTGACGTCTGGACAGAGATTTGAAGAAAGTGAGGATGTGAGCCTTGCAAACATGTGGGGAAAGAGGGAGGGAGGCAGAGGAAACAGGAACAGCAAATATCAGTAACGTGCTTGAGGTGTTAGGAACAGCAGAGAGACTAGTGAGAGAGGAGTCATTGCGGGTGGGGGGTAGAGATCATTGGCGAGCTCAAGGGGGTCTGGATTACATGGGGTCTTGCACGACTCTGGATTTTACGCTGGTGAGATGAGAAACAACTAGAAGGTTTTAGACTTTCCAATGCACTTTAAACAAAATTCAAACTTCCCTTCATTATGGCCTGGCTTCTGCCCATCTTTTCCAGCCTCATCAAATGCCCCTCCCCTATGCTCACTCTGTTACAGCCACTTGGCCTCTAAAGAGCCCCCATTTTCTACTCCAACACCTATCCCACCTCTAGTCCCTTCTTCAACTTTCTCACAATTTTCAATTATGTATTTATGTTGTTCTACTCATCTGTAGAACACAAGGGCAGAACCGCACTGTTTTTATATCTCCCAGCACTTTCCCAGTGCCATCGCTGGTGAGTTAGCAGCTCATGGCCTGTCATGGAGGTGAGCAGCCGAAACCCTGAGCCACAGTCCGTGTCAGGCCTGTGAAATTTTCTCTCCTATCTCCACGGGCAGGCTGTGTCACATACCTGTGGCCTCCTGCCTGGTCTCTCTATCCAGTACAAGGCAAAGGCCTTAGACGGAAAACTGAACGGGCCTCCTGGGCTGCAGTGAGGAAGTCCCGACTTACCAGACAGGCTGAGATCCTTCTGCAGGGCCCTCAGGCCCTCTCGGTTCTGATTCCTTTTGATGTCCAGGTCCACAATCTGAAAAGTTCAGAGGCAGGAGGGAACTCGGTTACCTCTTGCCCCAGCCTATCACCTCACAACAGACTATTAAAACGTAACAGAGACAACAAGGCATCATTCCTGGCTTACTTCCAGTGTCCTGTCTAAAATGTGCTGATGTGTGAACGTACATTTTCTCCCACTTAGCTTCCGGATCCTTAAAGACCATGCTTTGTTCAGGTGTCTTCCCCCTAGAGAAGGTGCTGGGAAAACGTTTGTTGACTAAATGGATAATTTTTATTATCCACTGGAGCGCTAGCTCTCAGGCTTCAGGGCACTTCAGAATCACCAGGGGAGTGGAAACCTCTCCCTGGACAAGCTCCTCCAGCTGATTCTGAACTAGTATCATGAGAAGCCCAACTACAATAGACCGAATCAGCAGGGGTGGGACACTGAGATGGCGGTAACCACACAGCAGCTGCTAAGGGAGTGAGGAGGCTGGAGCCAGAACACCCAGGTTTAAATCCCGCTCCCCGCTATGTGCTGTGCAATTCCACCTTCCTATCTACCGGAGATATGAACAGTACCTACCGCATAGTTGTTGAGCCAGGAACAAAATGAGTTAGCACAGTAAGTACTTGATAAACTCTAACAACTACTATCATCACCCAGCACACCTTGATGCGGTGTTTCATAGGCTCTTCCCTAAGTCTTCTCCTTCGCAGCTCAACCAATCCTTCAATCATTCTAACGGGAGATGAAGAGTCCTGACTCGTTCTTGACTCCTCCCACTCTCTCACCCCTACATGCAACCATCACCAAGACCTAAGTCCACCTCCAAAATATATTTCTGACCCACTCGCTGTCTCCATCATCACTGCCCAGGTCCAAACCCATCCCTCACCTGGACTGTGGCAATGCCCTCCCCCCCCCAGGCCCTTGTCCCCTTATGTTCTGTGCTCCACAGAGCAGCCAGAGGGATCCTTTTAAAACCTAAATCCAATTAGCTCATCCTCCCGCCCCCCATGAACTCCCTTCAAACACCTGGCACTTTCATTAGAACCAGACCTGAACTTCCTGTTCAGGTCTACAAGTCCATCCATGACCGGGACCTCACGTTCCTCCCGCGTCCCCACCCCTGAGCAATCACAAACCACGGAGGCCTCTTCTCTATCCCTCTTCTTCCTTCAGGGCCTTGACAGGGGCTGTGCAACCCAAGTCAATGAGGGGCCCAGGAACTGCATTTTGAAAAAGGGGTTCAGGTAAACCGCCCAAAGGGGTGATGGATCGGGGTCCGGAGAGCACAGGAAGGCGCAGATGGCGAGAGGGGATGCCTAGCACAGAACAGGCGCTCACCTAAGACGCGCCGTATAAAGGGGCGACGCGCGGCGCTGTGCCAAGCGTTCGACCACATTATCTCGCAACTGCCCTATGTCTGTCCTTACAGCCAGTGGACCACCAGCCCGGTCAACTCACGGCCAGCCGGTGCTGGAGCCACACTCCGGACCCCGCGCGCGCCCTACGGCGTTAGCCGCCAGGCCCCAACCGCCGAACCCGGGCCCCAGCGCCGCGGACGGGCCTCCCACCTGCCGCTTGTCCGCCAGCACCGCCTCGGCGAGCTCCTCCACTTCCTCCAGGTACCGCATCACCCGTTCCGCCTCAGGGGACAGCATTGAAACCACCAGCTTCAACTCCGCAGGGCCGCGACCCTGCTCAACGTTTGCTCGGGCTCCGCTTGCGCACGCGCCACTCTGAGAGGGCTCACAGTGCACATGCGCAATTAAAAAAAATCGAACGGCGGCGCGCAGGCTCCAACGCTTGCGCGTCAGCCGAACCCGAGAGGCGGGGCCCAACTCTGGGGGCAGGGCTGGAGCGCCCCCTGCAGGCCCAGAGTGCACGGTCCGCAGTGCGGTCTCAGTCTTTTCCTTCTGCCGTTCGTATATTTCTGGAGCACCTACTACTATGTGACAGGCAGCTTTAAGTACTGAGGATGCAGCAGTGAACAAAACAGAAGTCCCTGCCCTCATGCAACTTCATCCTAGTGGGAAACACCAACAATTAACGACAAAACAAATAATTATATACTCTGGCAGGCATTGGTTGATAAGGGCTTTGGAAAGGAAACAAATCATTCTTGCCCTGTTTGGGGAACACCAAGGAGTCCCATGTGGCAGTGCAAGTTATAGTTAATCTCTGACACGTTCAGTTTCCAATTTATAAAATGGGGGTGAATAAAAATCCCCCTCATTGTGTTTCCGCGGATCAGAAGGAGGCAGGAATCATTTTCAATTCACTTTGACCTCTGTGTTGGGCCCAGTGTCTGGAGCAGTTGGACCTAGACCTAAGGAAGGCAGTGAGTAATGAAGTTCCGGCTCAGAAAAGAAGTTCTATAAGTTCTGGGAAGTGAATCAGTGTGGGCTGTAGGACCGAGGAGGAACTCCAAGAAGAGGCAGGCAGGTGGCAAGTGGCTGCCCTTCAGAACCAGAGGGCTCCCTAGAGATCATGACCAAACCCGTCATTGTACAGCTGGAAAGACAAGGCTCAGACTGCAGCAAGGACTTTTACACTTGATCTTAGCCAAAAGGCCAAGAAGCGATCGACAAGGACTTTTAAAAGTCAACGGTGGATCTGATGTTAGAACTCTGATCTCTTGCTTCTGAGTCTAGCTTTTTATTCTATCCTTTTGGCCCCTTGTGACCAAGCCCTTTCACACCCCTTGCCTTACTTGAATTTCACAACAACCTTTATACAGACAGGTTATTCCTACCCCGTTTCACAGCTGCAGACTCAGGGTGGAAGGGAGAAGGGCCATGCCTTGTCATCCAGAACGTCGGGAGCAAATGTGGGTCTAGAAGAAATCTGGTCTCTGAACCCTTAAAAAAAACCCTCCCCGAAACTGAGGCCCTAGAAGTCTCAGTGGCATCTGCTCTTTGCCTGGCCGTTGGCTGCCTTCAATTGCCTAAGGCAGAGCTCATTTTCCCCGCAGCTGCCTGGTATAGGAAAAGGAGGAGATTCATTAAGGATTCCTCATTGAGGGCGAATTTGTCGCCAAACCCAGGATGTTTTGTGTAAACACCTTCTGGTTCAGAAATTCAGACACGAGCCCTGGGAAGGAAGGGGGGACATTTCCCAAAGGAAAATGGGGCTCACCAGGCTTCCTGGGGCCTGGACCCCAGAACTGGGTCTCCTCTACCTTGGGACCCAAAGAGGGCTGGACCAAGCTGACCCCTGACCTCTGCCAAATGGGCCTGGATGGGGAAGGGTTGAGGGAGGCTCCCAAATTGGCAGCTCCTTGGCTGTGACTGGCCCTTAGCGGGCACCCCTGACAACTGGAAGTGTTGGAGAAGGAGGTCATATCCAAGACATTGAGACAGTCAGACCTGGAAGAACTCTTATTCCTGAGCCATCTATTTCACAAATATTTATTGACAGCCCAGTTATAGGGATTCTGCCATAAGCAAAACCAGATATGGTCCTTGCCCTCAAAAAACTTCCAGTCTGGTGGGAGAGACAGATTAAAAAAAACACACGAACAAGTAAATATATCACGTCAGGTGGTGATAAGAGCTCTGGAGAACAATAGAGCAAGGCAAGGTGGAGAGGGAATATGGAGGGGTTCTTTGAGATAAGGTGATCAGGGAGGGCTACTCTGAAGCGGAGGCGTTTGAGTAGAGAGGTGGAGATGGTGAGGGGGATGAGCCATGTGGATATCAGTGGAAAGAGCGTTTCAGGTAGCGGGAACAGCAAATGCAAATGCCCTGGAAGTTGGAAAAACAGCAAGGCCATTGTAGGTGGAACTGAATGAGCAAGGGAGAGAAGGTAGGCGGTGAGGACAGAAAGGGGAAAGAGGCATTAAACATGTGAGGCGACGGAAGGGGCTGTAGAGGCCCTGCCCAAGTTGGCAAAGCCCTCCTGAGAAGTCAGCTGCAGACATTGCTGCACAAGCCTGTGGCTTCCTGCTTCTCTCTGCTCACAGATGCAGGTTGTGTAGGGAATGCAGTGAGTCAATGCCCACAGAAAGTGGCCCTTAACTAGGAAGAGAACGGAGTTAGTGACTGCATACTCCAGCTTCTTTGCCCCTCTGTGGGAGACCCAAGAGGAGGCTGCTACAATCACCCAGATAAGATAGGATGGTCACTGGACCAGGGTAGCAGTGGGGATGGTGACACTGGTGGGATTCTCAGGGACTTCGCGCACACTCCTCAGTCAGCCTGGATTAATTTTCTCCAACACCTTTGTACCTGTGAAACTACTACATATCCCCCACTTATCAGCTTGTCACCTATTCCCACAGGTCAAAGGTCTCCTCTTGGCCCCCTCAGCTTCCTGGGCTTCCCCCATCTCGGCACTCACCACGCCATCTTTTTTTCTCTAATCATCCCCCTCTCTAGTTGTGAGCGCCTCAAAGCAGGGACCTTGTCTGTCTTGTTCCCTGCTGCGTCTACAGAATCTAGGACGGTGCCTGGCACACAGTAGGTGCTCAGTCAGTGTTTACAGAATAAATGAGTGGACTCAATATGGAGCAGAATTTCTAAACTCCAAAGTATCCAAAGACAAACAGAGCTAATTCCAGGGTAAGTGGTTCCCATCACATGGTCTGGATATTGCAGAGGGTGAATCCCTCTGCAGTCCTGAATGGGGGTGAAACCTACTAAGTCTTTTCTAACCTGATATATTCTCCCTGGTCACCCCGGCATATGTCCCCCATCTTTAGCCACCCAAGCCCTGGCCAAAAAGAACATGGCTGCTGGGGCTTTGGTGTTTGGGGACTGCAGCCAACAAGAATGATATTTCACCTATTCCCCTTGGATCCCTTTTTACTGTTTCTGTGCACCCCTCACCCCTTGGGTAAGCGTTCAGTGACCAGTACCTACTTCTCTCCTTGGGGAGGACTGCCTTCAGGCTGCTGGAGCCTCCTAGGGAGATTTACCCTTCCCCTAACCCATCATTTCAGGAATATGAAAGATGACCTTTCTTGCTTAGGCAGTTGGCGGGGGTGTGGGTGGATAACTCTGAGGCATAATTACACTCAAGTTTCCCTGTGGGGCAGGCTGAAGCGGCCACCCACGAGACATCCGCAAGCCCTGCTGGCTTCCTCCCCTTCCCAGTCCTGCCTCCCCCACTCCCTTATGGTCAACCCCCCCTAACACTCCATCTCACTCAGTAAAAGTCAAACTCCTCACCGAGGCCCACAAGGCCCTACCTCTCTGAGGCATCTCCTGCCTCCTTGCTGTTTCTCAAACATGCCAGGCACAGTCCCACCTCAGGGCCTTTGCGCTGGCTGCTCCCTGCGCCTGCGCTTTCCCCTGACATATACATGTCTCCCTTCCTCACCTCCTACAAGCCTTTGCTTAAATTCCATCTTCTCAATGACGTCTGCCCTGAGCACTCTATTTAAAAATGCAACCCCTGCCCCTCCCAGCACTCCTGATCAACTTCCTAAAAAATAAAATTCCTATTATTTAGAATAGCATTTGTCACTTTTCCCACGTGCTATATAATTATATTTATTGTTAATCTCCTCCTGCTAAAAAGGAAGCTGCATGAGGGCGGAGATCTTTGTCTCATTTGTTACTGATATATCCCAAACGCCTAGAACAGTGCCTGGCCCATTGTAGGTGCTCAATAAACATTTTTGAACGAATGAGAAAAAGAGCCGGAATCCTAACCAAGGCAGATTCCCTCTGAGGCCAGGCTCTTCACACCTGTGCTGGAGGTGGGGTGGGTGTGGCAGATCATGCCAGGCTTTGTTGGCTACTGTGAGGGGATTGTATTTTTTTTCTCAGATCAGTGTGAAGCTACTGGAGGGTTTTGAGCAAGCACAGAACATGACTGGGTTTACTTTGTGAAAGCCCCTCTGTCTGTGGGGATAGGATGGGCTAAACGAGGTAAGTGTGGCGCAGTCTTCTGGGTGTGTGTGTGTGTGTGTGTGTCAGGGGTGGGACGATAAGAGCTTGGAGAGGTGACAGGACTGTGGCTGCATGGGGGCTGGGGCAGTGAGAAGCCAGCTCATATCCTGTTTTCTGGAGGCAGCCTGAGCAGTGCCCCATGGGCTCTGGCCTGTGAGTAGTCCAGGCCGGGCCTCCCAGCTGCTGACAACATGGTCTTGTCCCACAGATGGGCTGTTTGCTCTCGTGGGTGGTCCCCACTCCTCCCTCTGCTTCCTTTGTGCCCTTGGCTTGGCAGGTGGAGGGGAGGCTTCCACTCCCTCTCCTCCCCTGACCCAGAGAATAATCCCTTATATTCATGCGATTCTCCTTGTGCCCTTACTTCATCCTCCCACATCCCCGGGTAATGCACAAATCTGATTCCCATTGGGCAGATGAGGACATTGAGGCCTGGAAAGGGGATGGGACCTCCCAAGGTCATGCAGCCAGATGGGGATGTCAGGTGGGGATCTATCTCCCACTCCCTACGCCTTGATTTCATCAGGCAACAGATGGTCCCAAGGTTTGACTTGAAAAATCTTAAGTGACCTCAAAGAGAATATAAGCCCAGAACATTCCAGGCCTCCCTGAGCTGGTCTTCAGCACTACCTTTAATACTAAATCTATTCATTTAAAATTCCATGAATAGATTCTTCTTATCGGAACTGAAAACATTACAGAGAAGACTCAAGTTCCTTTTTGACACCCCTCCCCCCATCTCAGTTCCCTCCAGAGTCCTAATTTGGGTGTATATTTTCAGAACTGTGGTATTCATTTAAAGGCATAGTTAGGAACCCAGAGAACAGATGTAGGACTATTATATACCCGGAAGGGTAGGAAGGTGGGA